AGAGACACAAACAGGGAAGAGATTGCAAGAGGAGCTGCCAGCTAGTCGAAGAATGCCAAGAAAAGTCATTCAAGAAGCATTTAGAGCTATCAGGGAGGGAGCTTCCACAAGAGCCAATGCCTTGACTAGAACTTTTATCCTCCAAAATCATGAGTCCAGAAATTCTCTAAGTCCACTCCCTAGTGATATTTTGCTGTTTTTGTTGTTGTTGTTACAGTAGCCTTAAGAAACTAAGACAGAGAAAGAATGAAGTAGGAAAACATAAGTACCCATCTCAAGTGACAGTGCATGCTAGTCTTCAGATCACCCTGGTGACACCTGCGCACCTTGCCCAGCTCACCTATATACCCAGCTGAGGTGGAAAACCAGGAGTCTATTTAGAGCTTATTATCAATCCCTTTCAGCAGCTTATTTTCAGTCCCTTAGCCCACGAAGGTCTGTGTCTCCTGGAGAAGGGGAGACCTTGTTTTAATATGCGTGACCAGACCAGGTACCATTTGCAATTTGTCTCCCTGCAGTGGACTCCATCTATCTTGTAAGAGTGGTAGGTTTACTCTGAGAGATTTTCTACATTCAGTCTTGCAATGGACTCTAATTTCCTCTGCCTCAATCTCTTTTTTAACCTATACCCAACATTGGACGTCATCCTCCTTGAACGCGATTTGCTACCTTTGCTCAAGAGCTAAGTGTGGTTTTTCACAACCTCTTACACGGAACTCGGGATTTCCCGCTCATGACCACTAAGCCTACCTCTTATTAGATCAATCCATAACCCAGACTCAGGACCTGCCTTGCCATTTGACTCGCATCACCCACACACAATTTCCCTGTCCCCCGGTATGTCTTTTCTTTATGCTCATCCTCATCATCTGTTTTATTCTGAGCCACAAATCTGGTCACCAGTGAGTCATTTTAAACTTAGTGGGTTAGCTGGGGCAACTCGGTGGTGGAAGAAGGCTGTAGAAAGACATGAGAAATGACAGTTCTCATCCTCGCCGAGCAGAAGTTTCTCATAACTAGCCACCTCCAGAAACTTACCGTGAGAATGGCTTTCAATTCATTTGTGCTCATTCTTTCTACAGTCCATCAACTCAACTATTGAATAAATGAATGAATGAATGGGTCATCCAGACCTCACTCAGAAAATCTTTCAAAAGACATCACCAATCTTTTGGGTGGATCTCAAAACACTCATTGCATGGTTCATGAGAATCCAGAGGACTCAGACTCCAGAACGATTTGGGCCACTAGCTATCTGCAAACAGGCCCCTGGGTCCCTTGTCCCTGCAGGCTGGAACAGAAACGTGAGCATGGAGCAGTTTCCCACAACTCTCCAGGTCAGGAGATCACAAGGTTGGAGACAGAAGATCTTTCTACTCTGTAAAGAGTCTCCTCCTTAAATTCAGCTCTAACTCCTCTTTTGGCAGCTTTCTCCCTCCGTTCAGAATCTACCCAGGCCTGGATAGAGAATGCACTGCGGGGCACAAGGGTGACTTCTGATTCCTGGGTATTTGTCTGAAGACGTGTCAGTAGGAAAAAAAAATTCAAGGGAAGCGTGATCAAATGGTGTGTGGATGTGTAGAACAGGAGAGTCTGAACGCATCTGTTTTTCTCTTTGCAAAAAATATCTGTTTTTGTCACAAAATATGGAGCACCTAGAAAGAGCTCTGAAAACATTTCATGGTGTGAAATCAGTCATCCTGGTAAATACTGCATGACGTGCCCCCTCCCCTTCCGTGAAGTGTCCAGAACAGGTGGATACTCACACAGAGAGACCACAGGTTATTGGTGGAGAGAGGAGAAAGTGGATCTCCTCGGTGGGGGTCACTGAGCTTGTGTTCAGAGAGATGGAGAATTCTGGAAATGGGGAGTGGTGGGTGATGGTTTCACAGCACTGCAGTGCCATTCATTCACTAAATTTTCCATGGAAACTGTTGAAATAGCAAGTGCTCTGTTACAGAGATATACTCTCCATCCAGCCTTTTAAAAAATCTCTCTTTGGACTCTACATAATAGCGTTTATATTTTATATAGATAGATAGATAGATAGATAGATAGATAGATAGATAGATAGATAGATAGATATAGATATATTATGAGAGGTAACAAAAAGAGACATAGCTGTTTATGAAATCTGAGCCATGACCACATCTCCCTTGACATTCTAAACAAATTAAATCTGCTCCACCATCTTAGACCTGCCTCTGAGCTTTAATCTCAACATTGATTTTAACCAAACAGCCTCAAGACCTGAAATAATCTAATTGCACCAGAGAAAAGGCAAATGATAGATTTTGCTTTCCAATTGATGCTTTGATTTCAATCTTCACGTTATAGTCCGTGGAAAAAGGAATTCAAGCAAAACGCACAGCCAACGGCTGTTACCCTCTGCCAATGCTGACCCTTCACTCGAGGGTACTGGGTCCAGATAACGTTCTTTCAGCTTGTCAATCTGGCCACTGGGGGAGGTGACACAGAAGAATATGTTCTGCATGACTAGCAAGCTGCGGTCCACCTGCACCACATCAGGACTCCTGGAGAAACCAAGTCGAGGACAGACATCCTCAACTCTGTGGCCTTTAGTTGTAGTCACAGCATTTCATATTAGGGATTCCTTCAACCATAAAACAGGACGTGAGCCACCTCGCTTTTCAAATTTAGGAGGGTCCATTTTTGTGCTCATCCAAACCACAGTGCTGGAGGCTCTGACCATCAGATTCAGTACCTTTCACTCCTCGTCCAGCTTCTGACAGTGTTTGCCGTGGACATTCAAAGAAAGGGGGGAAACCATGCTTTGCTTTATTGCCAAGACTTACATATCCCAACTACATACACATCTATGGTCCTTGTTTCCCCTCCTGACCTAGCAAGCAGTGGGGATGATTCTAGCTCAGAAGTGTTTGATCATAATTCTTTAGGACTTTTGGACAGAGCACTTCCCTGTCGTGGTCTCTGCGAGAAGGTGAGCACTGTAACTGCGTTACGCTCCCTTTTTCCTACCACATTGAAAGAACACCCTGTAATACTCCAAACTCAGCCTGGAAGCCCAGTCATAGTGGCCTGGCAGCAGGCTTCCAAGGCTGTCCGTCTTTAGGGAAGCAGACAGCCTCGTCTTTCTGCAGCAGAGCAGCCGCCCGACTTGTGGTCCAACGCTAACCTGACAGCACTACCAGGTTTGTTGGTTTGTTTGTGATAAGAAATATGTTCTCTGTATCTGTTGGAAAGAATGGAGTCCACATTTAAAATGAGGAATTTCTGCTCCTGTTTCCTTCACCAAATCTTGCAACAGCCCCTCCTTTGCCTTCTGTTGGCGTCCTAAGTCGACCTCGCCCACAGCGAGGAACAGAAACAGGAACAGCCTTCCTCAAACGGGGGCTCAACCCCACTGTTGTCAAGTCAGTTATGGCCATAGCCACTGTGTCAGGCGGAGTGCACTGCCCCAGGGGTTTTCTAGGCTGCAATCTTTATGGAAGCATACAGCCTCGTTTTTCTCCTAGAGAATGGCTGGTGGATTTGAACAGCTGACCTTGTGGTTAGCAGCCTATCACTTAACCCGCTGCACCATGAGAACGCCTTTGAAAGGTGGTGGTTACATATGAAGATGCACCACACCTCTGAGAGGGTCTTTAATGCAAACAGCAGCTACAGCAAGAGATGGTGTTTATGCAAAACCTTTTCATTTTCATACCTGGTACAAGACGGGTCACATCTTGGAGGGGGACCTGTTCATGTGAGAAGCCCTGAAGGAGAACTTGGTTACCACCTCCAAGACTTTGCTCCCATGTCTGAAATGCACAGGCTTTGTTTCTAGCAAAGGAGTATCCACAGGATCGAATACCTGCTGAATTCAAACTCACTCTGAGTCAGCAAACACCCAGGTAGCCTTATCTTCATTTGCTATGGGAGGCGGGGTGTGTGTGTGTGTGTGTGTGTGTGTGTGTG